CGGGCTGCAGCTGCACCAATGAAGGTTATATCAGCCGAACAATATGCGTTGAACCAAGGTGGAATGATTCTCTTGAAAAATTACGGGAGCCAAAGTCGGAATCGAGCTAACTGCATCAGTTCGAATAACCTATAAGCCATGTTAAGAAGCATGTGAAAAAGCTGAAACCTTTTTCTCTAAAAGGTGCTTTATCGACACGGAGCAGATAAAAAGCTGTGATATTTGCTAGCTGGTTATCAACTTGAATGCCCAAAGCACACCTTTTATATTCTTTTGCAGAGTCTTATCTCCTAAGCTGTTTTCACTGGGATTATTTCGTTGCAAATGCTGCGTGAGATTAAGTCCCTGCCCTTGAGTCAGAATCGAAATCTATTCAAAGTTGGTCATGCTTCTCTGAGTCAGCGTCGGAACTTATCCAATGCACTGTTAGCTAGAGTCGGAAATTCCGCTGAAGCAGTGCCAAGAGCTGGTCTTTTGAGCAGGGATACTGACTCGACCTTGCAATAACTATTTCATCACGCGGTGTCATAGTTCTATTAAAATTCCCAACTCTAAAGGTCAAGTTGAATCGGTCACAGAAGTGATTCGCTTGGTGCCAATTGTCCAAAAGGCTGCTGCTCTCCAGCTCCTTCGTCCCGGGCCATCATAGCGGTAATAAGCTCCTGACCGCCGACACATTTTGCGGGCCAGAAGATCGCGGATACGGTCGACCCTCCCATGTGAGCACACGCGTGTCGTCGGTCAGCCGCGCCCCGCCGGCGCTGAGTCAGCTGATGACAAACTGTCTGCGTCAGCTGAACATGAACCACCGCGACGAACGCTGTGACCGATGGTCATACATGCACTGTTCCGGACCTGCTGAGTGTGAGGCCGCTTAGTCCTTGCCGACTGCGGCTTATCAAGCCATGCAATCAGCAGAAAATGAGCGGGTGTAAAACATATTAGAAGGGAGTGAGTATGACTGTGCAAGCTGCAAGTCTCCAGGTTTCAGTGGGAGCGAAAAGTGAGTGTCACTAGAAGTACTGCCATTTTTTAGCCCGCGGGCCCAAAAGCGGGGACTTCTGGCTACATTGCGGGAATTGGCGTTAATTCTGCATATTAAATTCTTCTTTCTGCGTTTTCTTAACAGCAAACTTACTTAACACTGCTCCGAACTATCTAGCAATTGTTGGTAACAAAGGGTGATGGAAAAAGCCGTTTGTTTGAAAAAATGATGAGATATACAGGTTAATTTCATTACTGAATTTTCCAGCTATGTATTGCATGCCATTTTATGAACAGAAAATCCATAACAGGCTGCAACTTCAAGAACCGACTAGCATAGCTTAATAAGCGTCTATCCTACAGTGAACACACCGGCTTGACTTTTCATTTTTAGCGGATTAAAGTTCAACACAAAAGCAAGGACCAATCAGAAATAACCCCACGTTAGTTAGCCTATGCCATACATGCAGTTTCCTATTTATTTGATGGGATCCAGCTTCAGGAACAGGCTCCAGCTCCAGCAAGAAACAACAGCAAAACAAGTTAACCCATATTTCCCTGCTCAGCCCACCTAAAGCATATTTGGCAGGACTACACTACTGCATTTTTCATGTCATTTGCCAAACAAATCTCAGGTCACACGGAACACATGTCACATGCAAACACACAACGGTCTGAGCCGCATTCATGAGTGCAACCACAAATGGCATGTGCAAACAGCAAACACCACCCGAATGCCTGGGTTGGATTGAAAACGTGGCCCTGCATTGCAGTTCCAAAACATGCGAATCGATAATCGAAAACTAGTCTAGTTACCCGCAGCTCAGGCCTCAACGCCCGCTCTGTAACTTTATATAGCAATGTTTTCTTCTACATGCATGCAGCCATGCGGTATTTATCCATGAGGAAAACCACAGGAAAGCACTGATTTCCAAACTATTCCTGCAATTCCAGCAAAGTTTTAAAATAACCGCATCTAAGGACGAGTCGGCTGTTCAAGCGGCTCGGGTGTACAAGATGCCCTTCACGTGGTGTACGGAGGAACTCGTATTTGCTATTCACGTGTGATGAGGTCACCAGCTGTCCGGGTGAAACTTGATGACATTTATGGCGCGTTCATTTGTCACCAAATACTACGCTTGCTTTCTGTTAGGTGCCACGTGGCATGACGATGCCGAGGTTGGTCAGGATTCCGTGTACGCCCGACTGAATGCATTCGGATTATAAATCCAGCATGAAAAGAACAAATTTGTAGTCCACGTGCAGTTTACGCACCTCTAAGCCTGGTTATTGGACGCAGGCAAGCGTAATCAGCCATCATTCAGGTACCCGCTGCTGTCTGTGGAACTGGCAATGCTGTTATTGCCGTGCCTATTGGCGATGGGTAATGCTGTCCTTGGTATTCCTTCCATGACAGATATTTATGTGTGAGCCTGTCCATTTTTAGTATTTCATTGCTTCCTTGTGAAATTAACCACTTGACCACATTTATAGATTTAGTTGCAAATTAAAAATCGTTCCTCGTGGTTTGGCGGAGATCGATTTTGTCAATATGCACTTTTCGTGACATTAAAATACGCTGCGGAAAATTTTAACTCCTTACCTAGTTCCACCAACATGCTTCAAAACAACAAAAGCCCTGATAAAATAGGCAGAATTAATCATGTCTCGTGCTCTATATTCACACGCCGCACAAAGCCAGTGGCTGCGGCTGCTCAGCGAGTAACTGCTCGCTGTCCCAACGGCTCTTGCCGGCCTGATCCGACCTAACGACGGCCTTTCGCGTACTGTTGTTACACTACAAAGAGACGCCGACGCCCAGCAGAGTGGTGGGGTGTGAACTTGCATCCTGCTGTATACTTTGTTTTGGAAGGCACGGCTTACCGTTATGGCGTCTTCAAGATATTGGAACTTGAGTCCTGGTTTGGTCGCGCTAAAATTTTTGAAAAGTGGTTCTTTAAGTCGGAGGTCTCGGAGAACCCTGTTCTGGTCGCGCAACCTTGCTCTGGTCGCGTCACAATTTTTGAAAAACGATTTTAGACTTCGGAGGCCGCAGAGAATCTCATAAAACCCGCTCTCCGCGGTATGAGGAAAAGGTACTCCACTCGCAATCCAGCGGTCATGGACACGAGTCCCAGAGCGGACACATTGTTTAGCCTGAGCGGTAAGGAAAGGTCAGCTAAACTCTCAGTCTGGTCCGTGTCCCCGTACCATAGCATTATATGTCACTGAAACCCCTCTACGCTCCTGGCTAGCAAAAGCCCGGGGGCCAAATTATCCGCTAAGCAGGAAAGGCCTTTGTTGGATGGTGGGTTCAGCGCGAGGCTGGTTCAGCGCACATGCAACACGGGGTATGCTGCCGATCTAAATCCACATTATTCGATCAGTCAAAATAAACGATAAAAATAGTAAAGCTTGCTAGAAACGCTGTCAGACATCGATCGATCTGTCTTAGAATGCACTACTGATAATCGATAAGCAGGCGGTTACTGGTCAGCTTTCCCCATTTGATACGCTTATTCATGATGGTGGACACGATGGATTGCTGTAATCTGAAGGTATTGACATTGAGATCACCGTAACGACATTTCAGAACTGCCTCAGCCGTGCATATCTTCTCCCGTGCACCGCCTAGACCAGAGGTGGAATTCTGGTAAAAACAAAAAATTGGTGCGGATGCCGATTATATTTTTGCACTCATTCATTTGAGACATAGTCATAAACACACTGCCAAAGCTTCGAAAAATCTGGAAGGCAGCTGCATCCAACATTAATAAAATCAGGTCCATTCAAAAAAGTTTCTTAAACTTATTTTCCCTGGGACGAATGGAAATTTCTCATTCTACAAACGGCGTACCACGCGCATGTTTTTTTTCGTAAACCTAGCTTCTTTACAGGCAGGACGCTGGCCTACCAAAATCTTGTTTTAGGCGAAAAGTTCAGAAAGTTGGGGCATATTTTCAAACTAAGTTGAGGGGCTATGCGGGAAAAATCCCTAAGCCTACCGGCAAAATTTGCTAAAAGGCGAATTCTCCTCGAAGTTAGCCCACTTTTCTGAAATCTGGGAGGCTGGTGTCCCCCCCCCCCCTTGACTGAATAAGAGGTTTCACTGCTGTCGTTTGACACTTTTAGTAAGGCATCCATTTGCCGGGAGTCACTTATCTCGTTACCCTGCCAAAAGCTGAAAAATTTGGCTCCGTTTACTTCACCCCGTGTGAGCCGAAGTGTTTTTTTATGGACTCAGTTGGTGCTGGGATCATCTCTCAGTAATTTTGGGCTCCTTGGGACATTTTTCTCGTGCACCCCTATTGATTATGTATAACAAATCAGATATTGCTGATGTGCCGGGCGTACCAAGAGCATACCAAGTAATGAACACCATGTGAATGGGGTAGTCGGCGTGCCCAAAAGACCAAATCACCATCACGAATATACCACATAAGACGTCTGAAGGCGAATGAGTGCATGACAGTGGTACTTTGCTCTGGATGTGCGAGTCTCTACAACAATGAGGCCAGGTACGAGGCACGACAGGGGCAACATTGCAGTTATCCGGGATATGTTGGGGGCTAAAAAGCAGTTTCAGGGACTAACGGTTTTACGTCCGTTCCAACGAGAATAAGGCAGGGCTAGTATTTTGACGATTTAATCCTTTTGCGGCATAGCTCAGACTGAAGCCTGTACCAACATGCCTGAGGGATCCCATCCTACTCCAAGCTGACTATCCACCAGTTAGAGTACTTCCACCCCACAGTTTTCCGTCAGCCCCTGCCGCCGCCGCCCGGCACACACCGGCGGCCGCCAGCTGAGCGCGGCTCCAGTGACGTCACGCGCGAGTCGGCCGGCCGCGCGCGCTGCCACTGACCGGGCGCCAGCGCGCGCGGCCGGCGCCAGTCGGCGTCTCGCCGGCGCGCCGATCGATCGCGGCGGCAGTAGGCGGAGCTTGTGCCGGTCACGTGATACCAGGGGCGGAGCCAATGCGCGGGGAAATGGCGGCGGCGCAGAGCGGCGCCGGCCGGCCGGCGAGCACCTGGTACCGCGTGCGGGCGCGAGGCGGCACGGGGCCATGGGGGACCGCTCGCAGGGTGAGTCCCGGGCGCGGGTCAGCCGGTGACCCGACTCCGCCCCTTCCGGGTCAGCCGGCGCGGCCGCGCGCCGCGCCGGCCCCCGACGCATGCACCGGCCGTCTGTAATGGAAACCTTTTAGTCGCTATCGTCTTTATCATGTTTCCGATACGCGGCAAGTTTTCCTGAATTGTGGTTTCTAATGACGTGTGTCAGCGGAGGGGCGCGGGCGGGCGGGTTTAGTGGTGCAGCGTGACGCCTGTGGCGGTGCTCCTCAGCCGCGGACCGGCCGTGCAGTCATGGCCGACAGTTGTCACCGCCGGCTTGCGGTCGGCTGCTTGCTGCAAGCTCCGGCCGGTCGGCAGTGGGGGCGCCGCGGCGTGCATGGCAGGGCGGATGGCCGCCGCTGTCCCGTGCAGAGTGGCGGGCTGTGCATGTGAGGCGTGCTGCCGAGGGGGTGCGCCGGCTGTGGCGGCGGCGGCTCCTGGTCCTGCTGGGACCCGCTCGAGTGCTCCTGGTCCGGCCGCGGTCCGCTCGAGTGCTCCTGGTCCGGCCGCAGTCCGCTCGAGTGCTCCTGGTCCGGCTGCGGTTCGCTCGGGTGCTCCTGGTCTGGTTACGGTGCGCTCGGGTTCTCCTGGTCCGGCCGCGGTCCGCTCGGGTGCTCGTGGTCCAGCCATGGTGTGCTCGGGTTCTCCTGGTCCGGCCACGGTCCGCAGGGGTCCTCCTGGTCCGACCACGGTGCGTTCGAGCGCTCCTGGTCCGACCAAAGTGCCCTCGGGTGCTTCCGGTCCGGCCACGGTCCACATGGGTGCTCCTGGTCCGGCCATAGTCCGTCAGGAAGCTCCCGGTTCAGCTGCGGTCCACAGGGGTGCTCCTGGTCCGGCCGTGGTCCGTCAGGGAGCTCCCGGTTCAGCTGCGGTCCGCAGGGGTGCTCCTGGTCCGGCCATGGTCCGTCAGGGAGCTCCCGGTTCAGCTGCGGTCCGCAGGGGTGCTCCTGGTCCGGCCGTGGTCCGTCAGGGAGCTCCCGGTTCAGCTGCGGTCCGCACAGGCCCGGTCCCCGGTCTGCCGGCGCTGCTTCGGCTTCAGGTGCAAATCCGGACCCGCGGCCGCCACCAGGGCTCATTAGTGGCTGCTTAGAGTCAGCCAAACCGCGAGATGGGCCGATTTCCACCGCGGGTCGGCCTTCAGGTGGTGTTTGTGGGGTGTACTCGACTGCCGTTCCGTGTAAACCCAGGCTTCCCGCCACCTCAGTTTGTAGGCGTGTGTGTCTCTTCTCCACGTGCACAAACAGCGCCCTGCACAGCGACGCTGTCCTCCACTTGTTACAACATAGGCTGTTACGACATCTGCCGCAGTGGAGACTGGCATGAGCGGAGAGTGTAGCGTGACAGGTGCAACAACATCCGCGTCATTTATTGAATTTAGTTAAAGCTTGACATTTCACCATGAAAGTTTCACGTTTGAGCCGCCTTTTTGCGCATTGTTTTCCTTTGCGGATCGCACTTTTTTGTTTGTATGTGTGGGTTTGCGTTCAGGGCATCTGCTAAGCATAGTTTGTGACGCGTATCCTGAGCCTACCAACCAGGTGTTCCGTTCAGATGTACGGTTAATTTTGCTTCCACTTAGTCAGGCTTGAGGAGAGTTTTGATTGTTGCGTATGTTGCGGCACGGCCGCCTTTGGCCTGAGTTGACCCTTGTTGGTCAGTTACCAGCTGGCCTTTCCACGTCAGTTGAGCAAAAACGCGCCCACTCCGAGACTGGTACCTAGTGCCGTTGGAATACAAGCCCAACATCTTTTCCCTAAACACTTTGACTAAATAATCGCAAGGTATATATCGCGTGTACGCGTATGTGTACAATGGGGGGGGGGGGGGGGGGCGCTTGCTGACGTAGCCATAAAAGAAGTACTGATCATTCGATCGTTCTCCTATTTCTCCATTGAGAGCCTACCCAGACGAGAAGAAACCCTCCATCGCTGGTTTCAAGGCCATTTTAAAGGTGACGAGCAGTTGTAGCCTTAGTTGCTACGCGACTGGCTTGCACTGCATGGTGCAGCGCCACGCCAACGAAGATTCTGTAACACCACTACCAAGCTATTTAGCTTACTGTGTGACCCATGCCTAAGCTCAGAAAAGGCAACAGGTTTAGCACAACCTCACATCTTACTTATTGTTCTCTCTTGAAATCAGGAGGCTTCTTGCTGATAAATTTGATTAAATGCTCCTTGGTCACAACAAACAAGAGCAAAATGCGCTATATTTTGTTGCCAGTGTAAATCTGTTTTGCAGAAATCACGGCCATGCTGCTGGCCAAAAGAATGGACATGCTGTAGTGAGACACGAATCCTATGAGACGCGAAGGTGAACATCCTCAATCCATGCACTGTTTGTGTACCTTTGGTACATACGTTTAATGTCCATCGATTAACTAGTGTTGGCATACATTTGTCGAGTGCTTGTCTTGATAATCAATAGCAATGGGCAACTGGAAAACCTTGCCCCCCCCCCCCCTGCAAAGGATCAACATTACTTGTGATTAGTAAGCTGTTAGTATGACAAAGGGTGTGAAACAGAAGTAGGCATTTGTGAGATACTTACTAGCTTAGATGCTTGTGAGATTGTCCTAAGTAGCTCCTTTAAGCCCTCGGACTTTGTTGCGACCTTAGGAAATCCGCGTTATTTCGGCACGTTTGGGAGGGACTTGCTTCACCACCCCCAGGCAACTACAGTACCTCTCAGCCGCACGGTACCCTCTGGAGCCCGCAGTGCATCCTTGACGAAGGATATGACAACTATAGCGCACTATATTGGTGGGAACGATAGAGTAAGATGCTTGTGTTGGCAGCATTTTGGCTGGGTCATTGAAGGTGATCATGCGCAATATACGGCTGCAATATTCAGCAAAATATTCAATCTCTGCTTTCATATCGGAATCGGCCCAAAAGCGCTCTGTGAAATACGTGCGAGCAAACGGAAGCGCGCAATGAAGTGGCCGGATATGGGGGCGGGGGGGGGGGGGGGGGTAAGCTTTTCCCAGGGGCGGTTGTTCAAGTTCGACACACGCGGTATTGGATATTCCGTATATCCGTCCTGCGCCCCAGCGTGCAATAACCAGTCCATTGTACAACAGCACTTGTGTCGAACGCAGGCAAACTTTTACATTACACCGACGCGATCTGAAAAGTTGTGCGAAGTCTTCCCGATATGAAACTATGCCACCAGCTACGGTGAATGCGACAGCAGCGGGACATCTCAGTGTCGGCGCTTGTTTCAAATTGTCGGGAGTAGTGGTGAACTGTTGAGTCCACAGCCTGTGTCAGGTTAAAGTTTCACGCTGCGGATATTTTGTGGGAGTCATGGTCTACAGCGAGGTCTGTAACAATGGTGGGACATGCTTATGTCTGGCGAGAGTTACTGGCAGGAGCTCATCTTATTCAGACCACTGAGAGTTTGAGACCCTTCCAGGCGCTTTAGAGTGATGAATGCCACTGACGTTGGTAATCCCCATTTGCTTATGTGCCACCTCCATGTATGGTTATGAGCACTTCTTGTAAGGAAGTACTTCACACGGCATGTGCTACTGCAGTGATGTACATTGCCGAATGTTAGTTGAAGGTGTAGCGCACGAAGGGCTGTAGCTCAAATCACGCCCAATTACTCTCGTTTGAAAAAGGCATGTTCAGTTTTCTTTGATAATTTGACATGCATATCGGAGCACAGCCGGTGGTTAAAAAATGAGCGACAGATGCGTTGACAGCTGCTATGTGCAACTGCAAATTTCTTGCTGTCAGGACATAAGGACATGACAACGGTAACTGCACTTCACGAAATCCATTGTATGAGTCTGTTTCAAGTTGAATGCTCCCGTTTTTTACTGAGGGCTTATCGCACAGTAACCTCCCGGGCTTCAGGTACAGAAAGGGACAAGTCACTGAACCCAACTTCCAACAGGCCGAGTGCAGTATAGTTGAACTTTTACAAGCATGCGTAAAACCAACGATCGCTGCTGGAAGAAGTGCTTAAAATGGCGCCACCAATGTCACAAACCATCCAGATATGAACAGTAAGACAAAAACATATGCCCCACGCATTTCAATAATTATATTTCAAGTGGATTGAAAAGGCCAAATAATGCAAGGAAGTATGAGCCTCAGGCTTCCAACAACCCGTTGATGTCAGGATGTGAAATAAGTAGGCATTGTAAGTTGGCATGCTCCAAACTTTTTTCAAGCGTAACAAGCTATTGGTAGCCTGGTATTAGGAGCTCCCTTTTTTATTCGTCCTGTTTCAGCCATCTACAATAGCATCAGCGCTTTGTGAATAAAAGCCCTTCTACTTCTAGCAATGTCAACCATCCATCATTCCACCTACCCTCCCAGACTACAACTGCATAGCGCCTTTACTGTAGTTCCAGATATGCTTGGCCTTGGAGCATCGAAAGGAACACTGCACGCGTGCGCAAATGCCCACCGATAAATATCCCTGAATTGAACAAAACCTCCCGCAAAACACCACCATGTACTAAAATCCCCAGCTCCGGAACCGTGCATCCTCATCACAAGTGGTCCTACATGCCGTCTCAGTGGGCTCTCTGCGGGCTGGTCGTGATGTCCAGGGGTGCCGGCCCTCTCACCATGCACACCGTGATGGTGATGCGCGATTTTCGAGAATGTTCTGTCGTTCGTTGCGCGTGACAAAATCGAATATAAGGCCCGCACCCTGCCCTCCACGCGGTCTATGTTGGCTGCTGCGCCGGTAGATCATCCATCGCCGGTAGACGCTGTGGACCATCTGCCGCGTGGCGGTGATTCAGGTGCGGTCGGAATACTGTCCAGGGAGTGACGGTGATTCAGGTGCGGTCGGAATACTGTCCAGGGAGTGACAGTGATTCAGGTGCGGTCGGAATACTGTCCAGGGAGTGACGGCGATTCAGGTGCGGTCGGAATACTGTCCAGGGAGTGACAGTGATTCAGGTGCGGTCGGAACACTGTCCAGGGAGTGACGGCGATTCAGGTGCGGTCAGAACAGTGACCAGGGAGTGACGGTGATTCAGGTGCGGTCGGAATACTGTCCAGGGACTGGCGGTGATGCAGATGCGGTCTGAACACCGTCTGGGGAGTGACGGTGATTCAGGTGCGGTAGGAACACTGTCCAGGGAGTGACGGTGATTCAGGTGCGGTCGGAACACTGTCCAGGGAGTGACGGTGATTCAGGTGCGGTCGGAATACTGTCCAGGGAGTGGCGGTGATGCAGATGCGGTCTGAACACTGTCCGGGGAGTGACGGTGATTCAGGTGCGGTAGGAACACTGTCCAGGGAGTGACGGTGACTCGGGTGCGGTCGGAATACTGTCCACGGAGTGACGGTGACTCGGGTGCGGTCGGAATACTGTCCACGGAGTGACGGTGATTCAGGTACGGTCGGAATACTGTCCAGGGAGTGGCGGTGATTCAGGTGCGGTCGGAACACTGCCCAGGGAGTGACAGTGACTCAGGTGCGGTCGGAGCACTGTCCGGGGTGTTTTTCAGCCCCTTAAAATCGCGACGGGTCTGCTGACCTGACCGATCTATCTCGAAAGCCGCTAAAAGTCAAGAGCTTTGCCGGAACAAGGTCGCTGTCGCTCTAAGAGACGGTGCCAAGATACTGCGGGCGGACTGGGCTTTTCTGCCAGTTTGCGAAGTCCGAACGCGCCGATTCTGATCTGCCTCATCGGTCCTCGGACTTTTATACCTCTGGTCGACAGTAAGAGGTGATGTGACATTACGGTGTGCGCAGTCTAATGTACCTAAGCTATTCAGTGAATTTGCGGAGAGCATAATGCATATAGATAAGACAGCACTGATAGCCTTATTCTTCTTCCTCATAGAATAACCAGGAGAATCAAAAGACAGATGCATTGATATTTCGACTTCATACCTTTATCAAAAGAATATCAGAAGTGATATCCCCGCCGATGTTCTTTTCGATAAAGGCATGTAGCCGAAATATCAATGCATGTATCTCTCCATTCTCCTGGTTATTCTGCTAGGAATGGGGTTATTAGTACTGTCTTGTGTACAGCCTATATACAATACAGCCTATATACAAAAAGCATGAGACATAAATTGCTATAATATGTATATAGCCAGAGGCAAAAAGGGGAAATGGGAATAATCGGCACGCTGTCTCAGGCTGCAAATGATGGGATGAAAATGTTTGGTGTTATTTGTGTTTTTTTGTTTGTGAAGTTGCAAATGTTTGCACGGTTTTGAAGTTGTCATGTATCAGTGTTCTATTACTTATACATCTGTTCCTCAGTGCGTTTGCCATTTTCGCCAAAGTGACGTGAATGGTAGGTCAGTAGTTCGATGGCTAAATGACCAATGCAGGATGGCTACCTGCTCCTGTGTGCAGTGCGCCATTCTCAGACCAATCCTTGCTCCTGGTAAGCGCGGGGCTCCATTGCCGAGTCCACTTTGTCGGCATTAAAGTTTCATAAACATTCAACATCCCGTGTGGTTGCCCTCGTTTGCTTAAAACGAAACATACCAATGTGCGGGAACATAACCCTAACATGGGGCACCCCCAGAGGTCACTGCCTGATCCGGCGCCGAACACGTGTCTGGGACAAGCTTCCCGAAAGCGGCCGGATACAACCAGAAATACATCATGATTACACGCTCTGTTCCGAACCTGAACCAGACAAGCTGTCGATGAAACGCCATGCTGTGGGTGGGGCTGCCGTTCACGGGTATCTGCCGAGCTCTCGGCCGCCTGTGACTCTCTCAGATAGCAGGCGTGCCCCCTCCCCCGCCCACCTGAGTCGGGCGCCGGCGGAGACACTTGTTGACCCCGGGCGCGCTTCGCCGGCTCAAGTTCACCATTGATTTTTAGCAGCCGTTTGCACCTGCACCGCAGCTGGACGCGACAGGCGCTGCCGAGCCCAACACCGCCAGCTGAAATATGGCCGGCACGCCTGCGTGCTGATGAGCCCGGGCAATTAACGGAGCCGCGGCCCCGCTGAGGACAGACGGTGCGCCACCGTGTCATTAGGATCAGCGCCGTCAAAAACAGCCGTTTCGCGGGTATACACACGTAAGCACACACGAGGCGCGTGTCTTGTCCGGCAGCCACCTTCGTCGGCTTTGGTGGGGTGTGCGGGGCGTGGAAGTGATTAAATTGTTTTGAAGAGGCTCGGATGATGCCCCCACTTATTGTGGACAGCGCGCCAGGGAATCGCACCTGGTATGTGCCGAGCTAACGGGAGGACGCAACTGTCCGCGGGCTTCGTCGTTCACGGTTTCGATTTGGCTTAATAGTTACATAACTTTGTTTGCGTTTAGCTTGCGGAGAGCCGTTAGTCGGCGAGATATTACGAAGTGCCTAGCTGTTTTTGGGGTCGTAAACGGCCGGTGGTTTAATTGTTATCCCACGCCGTTTTCACTCGAAATTAATTACTCACTTCCCTTGGCGTGCGCGCCTTATCATACTGATGCATCTCCCTGGCCGGCAGCCATGAAAGAGGCTAGTTTCCTGTGACGGGCGTCATGCCTCTGTGTTTGATGTCGTGAATAGGCGCGGAGGGCTGGTCGGCCGGCGCCGGCTGACATACCGTTTCCGGCGGTCGCTTCTACCGGGCGAAGCGCGCGGCCGGCGGCGGCCCCGGGCGGCTACGCTCGGACGCCGAGCTGCCGCCGGGGCCGCGTCACGGCCCGCCGGGCCCCTGTCAGCGGCTGCAGGCAGCCCGACTGCTGGAGCTGCACGGCTCGGTGGGAGCGGAGCAGCCGAGCTGCTCCCGGTCCCGCCCGCGGCGGCGGCTGGGCGCGGCGGCCGGGCGATGCTCCCTGCGGATCGTGCCGCTGTCGGGCCACGGCTCGGTGGGAGCGGGGGAGCCGAGCTGCTCCCGCTCCCGCCCACGGCGGCGGCTGGAGAAGGCGCCGGGCGCTCCCATCTGTCCTGGCAGTGGAGCGGGGGCATCCCTCCCCCCACAAGCATGCAAATAGCCCGACTAAACTGAGCTCTGCACTGCCATGGATGGCGTGGTCGCTGGCTCCAATATCCATACGGTAAGCCAGTTGTCCAGATAGGGGTTCTGATTTCAGCGTATGTTTCGCAAAAAATACACGAAGGCAGCTGAGACGGGCATGAAAGTGCCCAAATGCCGCGCTGTCTTATCTCAAACCCTCCGAACAGGATCGTAAACAAACACTTGAATAATTTATTGCAAGCCACAACACAGCTTCAGCTGTTCAGGACTGCATTCCAGGAGTTGCACCGCCTGATGTCTGGCACATGACTAGCTGGCAGCGACAGCACCGCCAGCAGAACAGGGCGATCTCGAAGGGCGACCTGTCATTTCGAGTGAGCCGTGGTCGAACACAGGTCTCCATTCCGAAGGCTCTCGCAGGCCCGCCGGTGGCACCGACCAGTCGGCCCGAGCGGACCTATCGCGATGTACGCCGCACCCGCCGCAAAACAATTGGCTCTGGTCGAAAAACTGTTTTAAATATACAAAAATCGGGCGCTGATAGCGCCATCCCGGCGGCCTGGGAACGGCGCCCGCTGCTGGTGCCCGTCCCAGCAGCGCTCGACGCTGACAGTCTGTTTGGATTCGCCGCGCGTCCGGCCGTGAAGAAGTGGCGGCTATGGTGCGGATCGGCCGGACTCCGGACCTGACGCCGGCCGCGCAAAAACTGACGCCTCGCCGCTAAACGCAGAACAGCTGTAGCAGACGAGATACCCGACATGTGCCAGGTGGAATCAGACAAGATAAGATTCTATCTCCTGTCCGCCCCTGCCCTGCCCTCGGAGGGGGACGGGGCCCTCTCACGCGGCCGCCGTCCCCCTCCGACGACGCCGCTTCCTTTCAGCGGATTAGCGTGGCTGCGATATCGAAACAAGGAGCGGAGGGAGCGCTGAGCCACGAGGCAGCTGGCGGCGGTGGCGCGCCGCCCAACTGGGTGGGCAAACATCTCGCAAGTGTGCAAAAACAGCCGGGGGCTGGGGAAATCGAGACGAATCACGTTAGTTATGTTAGGATTGTCATCATTTTTGCAACATCTATTGCACATATTCAGCGGAGGTATGCGTTTTGTCAACTGTGGCAAGCATGCGGTGGAAATGTGTTACTATGCACACGCAAGAGGACCAGAAAAGGCCAAAAGCTTATCATGCAAAGCGCACATAAGGTCATGGAATGAAGACACATAAGCACAACCTACGAGATCCATTTGATTTCTGAACTGAAGATCTTTCCCGATGTTTAGAATCCCTATGATGCTCTTTCAGCGACACATTCACATTGACATCATGTTAAACGTGCGCCTAGAGATATGCGTTTCCATTTTACGCAGTTTCTTGCGACCTTTGGCCATACGTCGAGCATTTGATGATACGCGGTGGCAGAATTTAATTCCCTTTTCTAGAATTCCCTTTCTACGATTTCCGCGTCGTGGGCTGCTATTTCTCTAGGGTTTCAAGCAGTTTCTGTTGTATAGTTAGCTACGCCGGCTTGCGGGCAGCCAGACGGATCAATAGAAAGACGTTACCACCGCCACCTCAATGACCTCACCCCAACCTCATTATTCGTCCCATACCCTGTCGACCAACGAAACTCTACACCTGACTCACACGGTTGTACGTGAAGCGTGTCTTACAAGGTTGTAGAGCTGTTAGACAATCCAGTGCGAGTGGTCACAACAGTCAAACCCCTCACAAAGTTGGCCAACGCAAACGCGAGCTTGCGCCCACGCGGTATCGCTGTCCCGCCCCCAGCCCCGTCCGGAGTCCCTGCGCCGTCCCCAGTCCCATCCGGAGCCTCTGCGCCGTCCCCAGTCCCATCCGGAGCCCCTGCACCGTCCCCAGTCCCATCCAGAGCCCCTGCGCCGTCCCCAGTCCCATCCGGAGGACTAACTGACCCAGACCCGCTTGCGTCTCCCCAGGCAAGAAGACGTCGCAGTGCGCGGGCTGCGGCGGCGCCATCCACGACCAGTACATCCTGCGCGTGTCACCCGACCTCGAGTGGCACGCCGCCTGCCTGCGCTGCGCAGAGTGCAACCAGTTCCTCGATGAGACGTGCACGTGCTTCGTGCGTGATAGCAAGACGTACTGCAAGAGCGACTACGTCAGGTGAGCGCGCCTCGACTGTGCGAGGCGATGTGAGGGAGGGGGGGGGGAGGAGGACCGGCGCTGTTCTACGGACCCTAGGCTGCGGAGGGCCGGAAAGGAAAACGGCTGGCCGGTGTCGTTAGTGGTAGCCGCTGCTGTGCCAGACCAAGCATTTGATAACGCCAGAGATATCCCACAAGTAGTGCCACCCCAGTATGATCTACGGCTCTCTTCTGCCATCACGCTCACGCCGGTCAAAACTTCCGGTGTTCACTCCTTCAGTTTCATATCTAGCCTCTGAATACTATTTCCGATTCGTTCAATATTAGTGTGCGTGACGCGACTTTTTCTTGGAATTCTGTCATAAGAAGCTGATGTGTAACAGCGAGGGCAACGACCATTAATATTCTGCTCCATTGGATGTCTCGACCAATGACGATTTTTCAATACCGGTATGCATCCATGACAACTCAATGAGGGCACCGTGAAATTCATGGCTTAATTTCAGCCATTCGTAACAGCAAAACATCTCTGCCTTAGCACCTATTTCGAGTGATGTGTGACAACCGGTAAATGCTGAGTAAGGCTCAAATCGGAGCGAACGTAAATTTTGAATTTGCGCACAAAGGAACGGACTTACGACGGTTTTCTGTCATGAGAGTATACCGCACTTACTTCACATAAAGCGTACTCAGTTTTTTATAGGAACCAGATGTGTGTAGTTAATATCAAAGCAAAGCAAACCTACACCTGCACTGACATTGGCCTTACACATAACCTACTTTGCTCGGGAATGTAGGGCTGTGAAATATTGATATGTCTAATCCTCCGTCCAGACAATAAGGCCTTATCACTTGAAGACGGTCCCTGCACTCATTCTTATCTCTCTGAACCTGGCTGCTATAATTTAAGACAGTGCTTTGCCGGTGTTTGAGCTTTCCGTTCCATTCCCCGGGGCGTTTCGTTGAACTGCTGATTTCTGTCGGGCCGGCAGCGATAGAGCGCTATCAGAGAGACCAATCCGTCCAAACAAGCGGCCCGGCTGACCACGGCCGCTACAAAAAGCCAGCTCGCGGCACAATCACCGCCACAATTATGTCCGGCATTAATGTTTGATGCCCCCGCTGAAGCAGCGTTTCGGCTGGGACCGGCAGGTGGAACCCCCCTCCCCTCTCCCCCACCCTCCTGTGCCCTTCGACACCCATGCCGACGGACGCACGCGACCGCATTGTACCACGCCACCTCAGTGCGGGCACAAAAAGGCGTGTTTGACGGCTGTCCGTCAGTTGTGTCCGGCTGCGAGTCACTTCCGGTCACACGCGAAAGGACCGTGGTGAGCACTGACCAGTGCCGTCACCCCAGTCCAACGATCCGTGTGGTCGCCGCTAGTCCACGGCCATGCCCAGTCTTCTGAACCATGCGGCCACCCCCAGTCCACGGCTACCCCAGTCCACCGAACCATACGGTCACCCCCCAGTCCACCGAGCCATGTGGCCACCCCAGTCCACGGCAACCCCCAGTCCACCGAACCATGCGGTCACCTCCAGTCCACTGAACCATGCGGTCACTCTAGTCCACGGCCACCCCCAGTCCACCGATCCGTGCGGTCCCTGGCTCTGGATCGTCCCTGACAACTGAGCAATAGAGTGACGGAAAGCAACGAGCTTCCTCGCGCGGAGTAGCACCGAAAGTCTGGCTTGGCTGGCTGCCGGCCTGCCCTCTGGCTGTCCGGTCGGAGTTGCACCGAGAGTCTGACTTGGTTGGCTGCCGGCCTGCCGTCTGGCTGCTGGGTCGGAGTAGATCCGGCACCAAGTTGGGGGATACCCATTTTCTGTAAAGGTGCCAGTCGGCTCATTTTTGGAGTGTAGATGGGTCGTATATCCTTTTTGCTCCCTGTGTTAAACATTTACCCAACCCGATCTTGCTCTTCCTTGGGCGGCGATATTTGTATTTGATATAAACATTGGTAAGAGTCGGTTTGCGGTACACGTCCGTCCATGACGATAGTGTTATTCTGTCCGGTGACAGGGTCGTCGAGAAAGGGAAGTCATCCTTCACTTTCAATTTTGAGGGTGACATTGACTGAAGGCCCGAGATGGAGTCAACGTCATCAAATAAGTCGTTGAAGGCGTCGCGCCCATGCTCCCAGGCGGCAGAGGTGTCGGCCCCGTATCAAGGCGTGACGCCCATGCTCCTAGGTGGCAGAGATGTCGGCCCCGCATCAAGGCGTGACGCCCATACTCCTAGGTGGCAGAGATGTCGGCCCCATATCAAGGCGTGACACCCATGCTCCCAGGTGGCAGGGATGTCGGCCCCATATCAAGGCGTGACGCCCATGCTCCCAGGTGGCAGAGACGTCGGCCCCGTACCTTTTCCATACATCCGGTTCCAATGGAACCGTCCACTGCGCCAGATCTTCCAAAACCGCTATGCACACGTTCACGAAAACCATAGACAGGGAAAGACCAGCTGTGTTACGTTCCGTCTGCACGTAAAACTTGACTTCCCGCAGGAAGCAAGTGTGATGCATTCTTGATGTACAGCTTGATGAGGCACTCGATTGAGACAATGGTCAGAAATGTTCATTCTGGCAGCGTGTGGTCATTTATGGGTTTGTCACAGATCACAAATATTGTCTCTTCGACAGGAACCTTAGTAAACAAGCACGTGACGTCAACAAATGTCAGTAATACGATAAAGCCGTAAGTCCTCGTTGCAGATAGCCAGAGGCGGATTTTTTTCTTCAAATCTCTGACGCGGCATGGTATAATTGTGCAACAATTATTTATACATGATGCATGTTGCGTCCTTCGATTTTACGCTCAGAAGCAATGGACGTGGAGAGGGAAGGTGAGTGGGCAAGCACTTCCAAATATGCTATAAGTTCCAATCATACAGCCATTGTTGCTGTCGGCTAACATACCGCAGATCACGCAGACAGCGCTACTGCCCAACCAGGGCGCCGCGGACCATCACGAACAGCGCTACTGCCCAATCAGGGCGCCGCGGACCATCACAGACAGCGCTACTGCCCAATCAGGGCGCCGCGGACCATCACGGACAGCGCTACTGCCCAACCAGGGCGCCGCGGACCATCACGAACAGCGCTACTGCCCAACCAGGGCGCCGCGGACCATCACGGGCAGCGTGACTGCCCAACCAGGACGCCGCGGACCATCACGGACAGCGCTACTGCCCAATCAGAGCGCCGCGGACCATCACGGACAGCGTGACTACCCAACCGGGGCACCGCGGACCATCACGGACAGCGTGACTACCCAACCGGGGCACCGCGGACCATCACAGACAGCACTACTGCCCGACCAGGGCACCGCGGACCATCACGGACAGCGTGACTACCCAACCGGGGCACCGCGGACCATCACAAGCAGCACTACCGCCCGACCAGGGCACCGCGGACCATCACAGGCAGAGTTGGCGTCCAGCTACGGAGGCGCCAATGTTCATCGACAGCATTACGGTGCCGGGTTCCTCGATAGCCCCCACTTCACGCCGCCAAGAGCACCAGGCATTGCCGCCGAGGACCGTAGGACCCTCGGACCAGGCCGGCTTGGAGCCTAAACGTACGATACTTAGGGGCTAATGTCACATTTTGTAAAATCCAAAAGAGAGTGCTACCGCTCGCTCCTCTCTTCACTCGCCACCATCGGTGCCGCCAGACGGTGTAATGGTTCATTCGGCGCTTTGCAGTGGTACCGCGGCACAGCTGATGTTCACACCACGCCCCTTCCTCCTCTCCCTTTCACTGTTCGCCCGGGTTCATGTTTGGGCGGTGGTTCTCAAGAGCTGAATAACGTAAGGCGAGTCCACCCAGTCCGGCCAGACACTCACACGTAGGTTTCGTGATGCTGGGGACATGTCAGCGAGAGCGACAAGTCTGGCGCCGCGTACAATCACACGTGTCACACGCCCACGCCTGGGGATCGGACCTCCATGCAGATGTGTAAGCTTTTAGCCAGTGGGTACTATCATCTGTGTGGGAGGAATTTTTAGATGGCGTATTTGGTTTGTTGCGGCGGGAGTGATATCTGCATGCTGCATACTCTCATGGTAAAGGTGCAGAATTGTTGCAGGCGGGTCTTGCCCAGGATAGGTGCCAAATCTGACTTGCATGAAAAAGATCAATACCACGAAAAGTCAGGGGACCCAACGGTACACTTGTTCTCTGACAATCAAACGACTCTTTGATGTAAGCTCAACAACGGCGTTTTATGCATCTTGCGCCATCATGTTCACGGGCAATGTTTTACCCTTAAGAGTGCCAGAAAAGAGCGAAACAGCATAGGCTGGACGCAGGCATGCTATTTGTTTTCGTCAAAACGTGCTAGAAAAGTTTCGTCAAAAGGTGCGTCATGATTTCCAACCGGAACACTTGGTGTCGTTGCGTCATGCTGCGCTCAGCATCAGTCAACCAATGACCGACCGACGGCGGCGGCTCCTGCCAGGGCGTTGCGCGTTGGCAATGACATTTCGGTCAGGTGACACGCCTTTTGTCCTCGCAGTCTGACACTGTGCATTCCGGTAGAAAACCGCGGTCGGGCTCAAGTAGTGGTACGTTTTATGCATTAGCGAGTTGATGGCCGCAATTATCTCTTTGTGGACTATAATGCGAGCCTGCTTTCTTATCTCTTTGCCTAGGTTCTGGCATGATAAGATTAGAACTATCGTGTTGCCGACAAAGCTGTGTTCGACTCCCACTCTGAGTTAGCTCAGGAATCAGCCAGAATTGTGTTGATTCAGAGTGGACTGTATATATATATATATATATATATATATATATATATATATATATATATGCATGCTATATGGCTGACACAATAAAGTGACCAGCATGCGATTGAGGCTGGGAATTGCATAGGCAAAGTGCTCACCACTCACCGCCTTATAAAATGAACTTTCTGCAGTATGCATCTCTTACATGTCAATAATCGTTCTTATTGTGGCTAACAATGCGTTGAACGTCTCCGGTCATTTAGCGTCGAAATGACCCACACCGTTTTCCGCGAGAGCAATGAAACCAGCCCATTGTAATTACTGCTCAACTTATAAGCTGAATAAGGTGGAGAGATGCAAAAAACAAGGAGTAAAACAAGCAAGCAGCGCCAACTTCCCTCGAGTCGACTTGGAAATAATTGACAGCAATTCTCGCGGTGCAGAGCCAGTGCACATACCATCTGTTTTTAGACAGCCGGAGCCAGCTATAGAGTTCACTTCAATCTGCCAAAGTTCGCTGGGTGAGGGTAGTAATTAGCTCTTTAAATGAGGTCAAAGTCGGTCAACTATGCCCAACTGGATTCAAACAGAAGTCTGGTCGTCGATGCGGAAGGCTTACTTGAAAAGTTCATTTAGAAGGTTTAACTCGAGAGGGCTTCTTTAATACTTTTTGTTGTCTCAAAACGTTGAGAACGTCGAAAACTCTCTTACGGACACTGTTGCGGACGCAGACAGAGAAACAAACACTCATGAAACTTCCTTCTCTGCGGCGCGGAAAAGGGTCAGTTTTCCCAGGTATGCGAGGGCAACGCACCTGACCGAGCTGAAAGGTCTGGGAGGGAGATGAGCAGCCGAGCCCTGGCCATCTTGTAAACCTCGTGCAGAGGCGGCACGATTCCTTTAAACACGTTATTGGCCAGTGGTCTGGTCAATAACATTTTGGGTAGAGCGCATAGGCGTCAGAGCGGAAGACAGGCTTGTGTCAGGAACTTTTCTCATCTCATGAGACGTTTTTGGATATAAGCGGGGCATTTGTACATGTCCGGGGACCCCGTCAATCCGAGGAAGTCTGGAGTCTGGAATCAGAACTTATGTTTCATCTCAGCGCTTCGGAGTCCCTGATAATTCCCACAAGGTTCAAGCAACATTCCTTCAATGGAAGAGACGTTAGCGAAAATTGCAGTCCTGTCAGGAGAACAAGGACTCTCTTCGCGGCTCCAGTGCTGGTCACATCGGTCGTCCCGTGGGCTCATTATGCTCCAGGTCTCATCACCATCCGCTCCGCCGGGAAAGCACGGGCTCCCCTACATCAAGGACTCCTGTTTCACGCAGGAGGCGAGGAGTTCAGTTATAACATTTCCCGCAGGAGGGGAGTGAAACCTATCTGACCTTCCCTGGATGCTTCTCTGACGCTCATAAAAATTGTGTGGTGTCCTGCAGCTCTGTCGTCAGCCCTGGACCCCACGCGAGGTGCACGACGAGATGCCAGTTAGCCGTCAGTTCATTCGGTAGAACTACCTTCTGGACTTATAAATATGTATGCTGGGTTGTAATGAAGAAGACGATAACGAGCCAGGGCCATTTGCCATTCACATGAGCGTGGCGACAGTTTGCAATCGCAACAAATGTTAATGCTTGCGTGCAACACTGTAATCAATCCAGCCTTTTCGCTGCATAAATTGCTACCCTACGGATGCTCCCTGCGTTTCATTCACGTGCGTTGCTTCAAGCAGTCGGGTAGGGTCCCGACTTGATATCGCATCTTTAGCTTGCAGATTTCCCGGAACAGGCCGGTGCTGATTAGGGACTACGCTCTTGTGTCTAGTTGTCTTAAATTAAAGATGTCGCGATAATTTTCTCATTTGACTGTGGCGAATATAATTAGTGCAGTACTGCCGGACGATAATGACTCCGACGACAGCAATTCGGCAGACAATGAGAAATCAATATGACCAACTTTGACTTTGCGGTCGTAGGGCGCCGCATACGGCTAAAAGCAAAGTTTGAGCCTGTAATTCTAGAGGGATGTTCCTTTGGAGCGTGCGTGGCTCAGTCAAAACAAGAACGAGCGAAATCACAGGCGCCAAAACAGGAGGCCGATGTTGTGCTTACTTGATGACAGTTTCAGTCGTCAACACGTTTTTACACCAGCTGTTTTCTAGCCGTAGCACTTGCGAACAGCCAACACACCGTATAGACACATCCAGGCCAACGATTCTCCGTCTCTGGGCCTGCGTACTATATTTCACGGGGCCTACTTTCTTTTCGAGGGCGGAGCACTTAGGAACCGGTGTCTTACGCGCAGTGTTTACGGTCACACGGTGCCGGGGGCACATCGTAAAAGCCTTCCACTCCAGGCTAATGCCAGTATGCAGTCCGGTTTTAGACAGCACTGGCTGCAGCTGAGTGCAGCGCTGAACAACAACTTTGTTGCATGAGCGCGTCGCTATTGCATATAGCCCTTTCCTGAAAATAAAGAAATCTTAAAAATAGACCTGGTGCATTTTTTCACCCTGCAAGAGATTCTGAGTTGTGCTGGCTTTCGTATTCGGGGATCACAGTTTAATGGACGAGCGTTCTGTAAATTGCTACCGTTTCACAACTTTTACCTTCAATAAAATTGATAAAATCAGTTTTGTGAACTACGACATTTAGCCCAAAATACACGTTTTTTGCTAACCCTAACGGCAGGACAGTCGCCCCACTAGGAGCCACTAATCAGAACAATGCACATTACCGCCTTTGGCATAATGACCTCAATTGGATCCCTTACCGGATGTGAGCAGCGATCACCGTAAGATTGACTGGCCGGCCTCAGTCATTGGTACAAGAGGCGGACGTGCGGTCAGAATGGCTCCAGACGCACAGGGACAGCAATGCAAACCAATATTAGATGACGCTGGTTGCACTGCTAGCATCGTGAAATATCAGTTGAAAATTGCAATAATCTGATACAATAGAATAAGTTAGTCCAGAATTATGTTTGTATGCTTTATGGACTAGTTTATTACAATACGATCTTAAGGCTTTTCGGCTGCAGACATTTGAACAGAATTCTTGAAGTTCCCGGTGCACATCATGACGCGGTCTTCACGAAGTGCCACGACTTCAGTTGTCATCAGACTTGTATTTGACGCTGGGAGAAATCGGAGTCGATTCCGAAACTAAACAAATTTTCCTTGAGTCAACGTAAAATTTATTTCCTTGCCAATGATGTGACCCCCAGTTGAATTTGGGTCGACTTTGTTGGGCTGCAGTTAGGGATAAGTTGGCTTTGATTGGTGCGTGCTGAGCGACGTGCATTCTTGTTCCAGGGGAATATTCAAGAGGAGAGGGGGGGTGGGGTGGGGTGGGGGAGGAGGGGAGACACCGAGGACACGTGAAATTTGCGTCCTCGGTATGAAATTATGACAGAGTATGGTTACTGTATGAAATCAGGAGAAATTTCATACCATCCTTATGAAATTCCACATATATATTTTACCTTATATGACTTATCTATGTGAGCAAAATAGATGATGAAAAACCGTACACACTTAAGAAATAGTTAGAGCAAAAGCATGCAAAATCGTTATAAGTCTCATAACAAAAAAGCACGCCTGGGGCGCAATGAAACGTGCTTTAAGCAACAAAAAGACTCGCGTTGTCCTCCATTGCTAAAACCTACACACACCCCTGTTTTGATATCTGGTATCTGGTATTTGGGTGGTTTGGCAGTCACATAATCGTCCAGAGGTCAAGAGGCCGCTTTAGAATAGATCCCTAGTCCTCCATGTGAAAGTCTGGGCATCCTCCCAACCACGTTTTTCATCGCCCCTGTCCTTGAAGCTCAGCACTTGTTGCCATCTCTGTCCAGTGACGAGCCTCCTTTCCCGCAGGCTGTTCGGGACCAAGTGCGAAAAGTGCGGCGACGGCTTCCGGAAAACGGACTTTGTGATGCGCGCCAAGGACAAAATATACCACATAGACTGTTTTCGTTGCGCTCTGTGCGACCGCCAGCTCGTTCCCGGCGACGAGTTCGCGCTAACGGACGAGGGACTCTTCTGCAAGGACGACCACCAGTTGGAGAAACTGTGCGAGAACAACAACAATAACACCAAGTTGTCTGCGCTGGAGCCCAAACAAGAGGCGACCACGCCGAAGTCGTCAGGTAGGCGCCACTGCCCGGCACAATGTCACGTGCAAATTGCCGCTTTTTGTGTGCGGGCCGCCGTAAAAACGGCAGGAATGTTGCGCGGCATGCGGGCCGCCCGTAGAAGGCGAGTTCAAGGGATGTCCGCGGGTTGGTGCGTGGGGCGCGCGGCGCCTGGCTTGACGGCTGTTCCGCAGTGTTCGTGTCCAGGGCGGGGCTCGACGCATTCGCCATCGATCTGTTCGGCGCTGCAGCAGCGGTGCCACCTGACACCGGCAGGCCGGACAATAACGCCGTTCTGCCCTGGTGCCTCTCCAAGCCGACCTCTCAGTTTTAAAACAGATTACGCCTCATTCTGTATGGGGACGGAGATCAGTGGGCAGGGGCCGACACCAGGCGTCGGAAGGGGGGAGGGGGGCGTATTTCATTAGGGGCGCGCCTTTCAATAACGCGCGCCGCGCCTCCAGATTAGCCGGGTGTAGGATGCGCGTGCTCTGCCGGGGTGTCCACAGAGAGGCCGGGCCCCGCTCGCGGATAGTATCTGCGGGGGGAGCTGGGCCAACATATTGAGATAACAACGATAAGCACGGAGGTGTATTGGATTATTGTCGGTAACCGGCTGGGGCGGCGCGGCCCCCGGGGAGCGTGGCCGCCCTATCGCCGCCCATCGCCCCCAGACAAGTGCACGCCGGCCGGCGGGCGTGATAGAGCATGCTGTGATAGTCTCCGGCTGATGGCCGCCACGCGTGCCGCCGCCACACCGCCGCGCTTATAAACACAGCACTCGAACGCGCCAATTGCGCGGGCGTCGCGCGCTATTATCCGGCGCGGGAGCCCCGCCGAGACCCGAGGGCGACGCTGGAGCCCTGCCAGGGGCCCGCGGCGACACGAGAGCCCCGCCGAAGTCCCGCCAGGCCCGGGCGGCGCCGCGCGTCGCGTGCGCGGACTGGCGCGCCGTTTAGCGGTGTCGTGAGGCCGCCTATTTAGGCCGACTCACGGCCAGGTAATTGGGAGGCGCTGTTGACCGCCGGCCGAGAGTGGGGCCGGCGGCGTCGCCAGATGGTGCGCTGCCGCTAGTTCAACGTCCGGCGATTGGCGGAGATTTGGGCGTGCTCTGGCGCGGCGGCGGCGTCATCTGGCGCGGGGCGGGCCGGCGCTGCGCCGACCTGTCATTAGGCAGTCCAGCCGGCCACTCACCGGCCGGCGCCGGCTCGTCTCGGGCGCGCCAAAAATGTATTTGTCTCGGCAGCCATCGGCCAATCAGCGACGGCGTAGCAGGCCCCGGCCGGGACTGCGTCCACAAGACACACATTGGTCGGGGCCTCTGTCCAAGCAGGGGGCCTTGGGCTGGCCTTCGTCCACGCGGCCCGCCCCGGCCAGGCCTCTATACACGCAGTGAGCCTCGGCAGGGTCGTTTTCTACGCAGTGGGTCCTGGTCGGGGCCTCTATCCAAGTAGCGGGCCCCAGTAGGGCCTCCGTCCATGGACGCCCGCCGCTGGCCGGTGCGGCGGCAGCCGAGCATGGTTTTTGCTGGTTACATTAGGTGATTTTTTGCCGACTGGGACTGCTGATTCGGTGCCGGTTGGGGCTTGGGTGGGAGGCACTCAAGTCGTCGCTCGTCAGGGCTGATGGAGCAGAGATAACCCGTGGCACGTGATTATACATTGATCCAGACAGCGAGACTCGTGTCTGTCTCGGGGCTGGTGTGGTGGGTGGGGCCGGATTGGTCAGCCAGGCTGTCAGGATTGCTCCCGTGGAGACGGGTCTTAACACCAAGTGGGCGTGCGGCTCGACGGACCGTGTCTCAGTCCGGTGCTCCAAACTCATGCATCATTTGAACGCAACTCTGGCCTGCGCTTCAAATAGTTACGTGAGATCAAAATGAGCCCAAATACATGAAACCGACAAGCGCTACAGATATAAAAAAGCTGATCGAGCGCATCCAGGTGGTCCAATCACCAACACAAAAGTTGTCTCTTACACGATGTCTATGTAACGACATGTAATGTCTGTCTATGCACGACAAGCTCATGAAGAGCTGCTGGCTATGTGAAGCACCACCTGAGACACGTCGGAATTGCTGTGATAGGTAAAACCCAGCCGCCTTGGTCATCCGGTGCATTCATAGCGCATAACAAGCATTACGCTATGAGAAGTTCTGAGAGTCAGCTGATCTTCCCACCGCCAAGTTTAGACTTGCTGAAAGTCACTTCTTTTTTCCCCGGATTAGTCAGGATATAGGGGGCATCGGCCATGCAACTGTCATTAATTCTTGCTCATCATGAATGTCAACATTCGCCGGCGTTGAGCATAAGGGCAATGGTGGTGTGGAATATTTCACAATGCTTGCGGAGAGTCGCGCAACGAAACTGTAAACCAACGCTCTCCACGCAGCGCCGGTAGTGTCGTGTTCAAGTCCAGAACAATGCGGCGAGCACACTCCCCGAATGCATGGAAAGCTCTTCGGCGGGGCGTGAAGCTGACACACTGTTACCCAGGGGAGCAAAGCTGACACACTGTCGCCCAGAGCCGGCGCCGATCCGGAGCAGAAGAGCGGTGCGCCCAGTCGGCGGGCCACCCGCCCCGCGGCAGGCCCCGCAGCCGCCGGCAGCGACGGCGCGGCCGGCCACCGCTGACCCAGGGCCGACGCTGGCGCCGCCGGGCACCGCGCCGCTCCGAAGTCCGCGCGCCGCACCTCCGCCACGCACCTTGCGGAATCCGACCTATGCTATCCTCACACAGGCAGGTGCCGGCCGGCGATTGCGGTGTTTGGCCGGCGGCGCGTCCCAAAGGCTGCGCCGTCCGGCCGGCCGCTATCTCCGCCGAGCACACAGCGGCGGCGCTTCGTGCACGGATGAGCCGGCCGGCTATCGGCATCAAGCAGGGCCGCCCGCGATCTGTGCAAACACCGCGCCTCTATCATCCGTGCCTCCTGGTCGGCGCGCGGTCAAAGGGCGGCCCTGGCGGAAGAGGTGTGGGCGGGAGCAGGGCGGGGGGGGGGGTCGACCTCCGGTCAGTCGGAGATGACCGGGAACGTCCCGGGGCCGGGCTGGAGGGCGGGGTGCGGGGCTCAGTGATCTGTCAATGGGTGTCGGGTCGCGAACAGGCCATCGCCGTTTCGGTCGTCGTCCGGCACCTGTCGCACTGAGGGAGCGGTTGGTTCCGCTGCTGCGGCGCCGACCTGCGACCGTTTGCAGGGTGTGTAATGATATGAGTGTTAATGCTAGCTTGCAAAGCTCATCAGCCTGAGTTTTCGCCGATTTCGCCACAGCGCTAGCTTTTTTTCAATTGCTTGTACCAATATGCCTTTGTTTTGGATCTCGGGTCTGTTCGGAGAGATCGTGGTCTATTTTCGGGAAGATCTCGGTACATTCTCGTGGAATGTATGGTGCATTCTGGAGGAGGTCCCTGATCCACTTCCGGGGAAGGTCTTGGCACATCTCGGGGAGACTTTGGCCTGTTCCTGGAGGAGATCTCGGTTCATTCTCGTGGGAGATCGTTGTTTGCACATGGCTCCCACGTGTCATGGTTTCCGGCGCACGAGACTGAAAGCCTTGTCCGGAGCGCCCCGTCCCCCCCCCCCACACCTGCCCCCAATCATGCCCAGCTACACGCGTTGCGATGCGATTGCCTAGGTACTATGGGTAGGTGGCACGCCCCAAGATCAGTCCTCCCTAAACCCCGGCACAGAATCCTTAACTATCCTTAATGCATGCATATACTATTTGTCATCCCTGAGCTTGAATTGGGATGAAGTGCAATGAATCGCCTCCTGACAACTCTGGGACGAAATTGATAGGATTCCAGTCTAGGATAATGAAGGCTTACCAATACTTTTGCTTGTTTTGCCAGATTGAATGATAATCTGAAGCTGTTAAAAAAGCTAAAGGTGGGCGGATTTTATTTTAAAGGCGCTGGATCGGTTTGGGATAGATTATGAGTTACACCATAAAACACACACCTGTAGATCGACTAATAAAGTCAAATGACATGCACCAAACGCAAACATTTTAACTCTGGAAGAGCGTACCCACGCTCTGCATCACATCCCGGCACCTACCGCATAACAAAAACATAAGGTCAACGGACGCCGACACGGCTGACTATACCCTTATAAGCTGACTATATCCTTATAAGCTGACTATATCCTTATAAGCTATGCATGCTTTATTTGTCATCCTGAGCTGAATTGGGATGAAGTGCAATGAATCGCCTCTGACAACTATGGGACGAATTGATAGGATCAGTCTAGGATAATGAAGGCTTACCAATACTTTTGCTTTGTTTTGCCAGATTGAATGATAATCTGAAGCTGTTAAAAAAGCTAAAGGTGGGCGGATTTTATTTTAAAGCGCTGGATCGGCTTGGGATAGATTATGAGTTACACCATAAAACACACACCTGTAGAT